CTTCTCCTCTCCTTCTTAAGAAGAGCCTCTTGGCTTCATTTCGTCCCAATTATCTTCCAAACTTCACAACAAGAAACTCTTAACAAACAAAAAAACTTTCTTTTTTCCTTCTTAGTATTACACTATTACTTCTCAAGATCTTAAAAGGTTTTGATAACAAGAGAAGATTCGAAGATCATTTTCTTTTACTTCAAATGGGTCTTGATGATTCATGCAACACAGGTCTTGTTCTTGGTTTAGGTCTCTCACCAACATCTAATAATTACAATCATGCCATCAAGAAATCTTCCACCACCGTAGACCACCGTCTCATCAGGCTTGATCCGTCGTTAACTCTAAGCCTCTCCGGTGAGAGTTACAAGAACAAGACTGTTACCGGCGCCGGAGATCAGATTTACCGGCAGACTTCTCCTCACAGTGGAATCTCATCTTTCTCTAGCGGAAGGGTAAAGAGAGAGAGAGAAATCTGCGGCGGCGACGGCGAAGAAGAGGCGGAGGAGACGACGGAGAGAGTGGTGTGTTCAAGAGTGAGTGATGATCATGAAGATGAAGAAGGTGTTAGTCCTCGTAAAAAGCTTAGACTCACTAAACAACAATCTGCTCTTCTTGAAGAAAGCTTCAAACTTCATAGCACCCTTAATCCCGTATGATTTTAGTTTTAATTCTTTCCTTAATTAATATAACCAATATCTTTCTTATTCAATTTGATCCTCATTTTTTTTTTCTCGATAAATTCACAGAAGCAAAAACAAGCTCTAGCGAGACAGCTTAGTCTAAGGCCTAGACAAGTTGAAGTCTGGTTCCAAAACAGAAGAGCTAGGTAAAAGATTTAATGGATTAAATTTTAAGAAATATTTAGTCCGTATATATTATTACTTTTTGTTCTTAATTTTTATTTTTTTTATTTGGTCAGGACAAAACTAAAGCAAACAGAAGTGGATTGTGAGTTTTTGAAGAAATGTTGTGAGACTTTAACTGATGAGAATAGAAGACTTCAAAAAGAGCTTCAAGATCTTAAGGCTTTAAAATTGTCTCAACCTTTTTACATGCACATGCCGGCGGCGACTTTGACGATGTGTCCTTCTTGCGAGAGACTA